GTGTGTACAAGTTAGTACAAAATCAAAAAGGTTGAGCTTCTGCCTAAGACAGAAGAGAAGTTCAAGCCTAATGGGCCTAACAAGCTGTGCAAAGCAAAAAAAAAAAGGTCTTCCTAATGTAAAATGGGTTTCCTATTCAGACACAGAATCCATTAACAGACCATAGTGTACACTTGTTGGTACAAGTCCAAGTGTTTGCATATTAGGGAAGATTTATGCAGCTTTCGGTGGTTGGCAGTGTTGACTGTGCAGCTCTAATAAAATCCTACATGTTTCAGAACTGGGAGGCATGGTCTTGACTATACAGTTTCTATGTCATCAATAGATCATGATGCCTTGCACCTTCCACATAAGGTTGTAGCTACGAGATAAGGCCTCAAATTCAAGTGCACAGAAATTTCACTTAGTAACTACATTATTAAATTTCACTTGGATCAAGCCGTCGACTTCACAAAACAAAGCGACGAAGGTTAAAGTTGGGAATGCCTCATGTACTCTAGCCAATTTTTTTCAAATGGCTATTTGTTTAATTGTGTTTTTGTTTGTTTGTTATGGTTACTGACTCCAATTTCCCTAAAAACTTCATGTTCAAATGAAGATACTTTTCTTGCAAATATATTGCTGATCTTAAACTAGAAGAATTATTAAAGTAACTGAGTAAAGTTTCAAATATGAAACGATAAGATTGGAAAGAACATTTACAACCAGATTAATCAAATATCTTGGTATACATATAGATGTATACAAGCCAATCGTTACATAACCTGAACTTTATACAACAAAAAAAGTAATAAGGAAAATGAAGGGACAAGAATTCACCGAAACTACTCACTGTTGAGAATAATTTTACGAAAAAAGTACAAAAAATTTGGCAAAGAAGAACGTTACAGCGACCTTACAAGAAGGAGACAGTTACAGAATTGTATAGCTATTTCCTGATTCATCTTCTTCATGACCTGTCCCTCTGCTTGCTACTCCATTAATTTGCAATTATTTATTCATTCTGTTATTGCAATCTAATTTTTTTTTAGGAACTTCGGTTTATTCGGTTTGGTGGTTTGATACTGGTTTCGGTTTGCTTTCTTCGACTTTAATAAACAAATTTCGATTTCGTTGTGGTCCTTCAAGCCGGTTCGACTTTATAAGAATTTATAAATGACTTAAAACGGCGTCGTTTTCATAATTCGTTGTGTGTGTGAGAGGAGAGAGAGAGGCGGAGGAGAAAGATGACGGCGTTACTGAACTCAGTGGCCGCCCGAGCTCTGAAATTGTCGTCGGTGGTGAACTTCAGGTGGAACCAATGCGGCGGATCAGCAGCCCACCGTGTAAGATCGCTCTCCACCGTTATGTCGCCACCGTCAAAGGCCATCGTGTACGAACAGCACGGCTCTCCCGATTCTGTCACCAGGTTCGTATTTTCTATCGGGAACTGTTATGTATGTACAATAATAATCTCCATTTCTTTTAACCTTTCCTCTCTTTCGGCGAAGACAGAGTGGTGGATCTCCCGCCTGTGGAAGTGAGAGACAACGATGTATGCGTCAAAATGATCGCCGCACCGATCAATCCCTCTGATATCAACAGAATCGAAGGTTGAAAATTCTTAATTATTTCTCTTCCAAATTCTATGCTCTCTAATTCGATTGATATGCTGGGGAAGAATTAGCTCAGTTTTGATTAGTCTACAATACAAGTTAATCAAGGAGTAATGTTGGCTAGAGATAACTTTCAGTATAAGAGATAGTCTCTGTAACTTCTTCATCTTCTCCATTTCTCGTTTGTTTCTCTCAAAGCTTAAAGTCCAATGTTTAGGTGTGTATCCGGTGAGGCCACCGGTACCAGCTGTTGGTGGTTATGAAGGTGTTGGCGAAGTCTATGCAGTTGGCTCAAGAGTCAATGGTCTTTCTCCAGGTGATTGGGTTATTCCATCTCCACCTTCTTCAGGTAAACATTTTTAGATGGTTTCTCTTTTTATTTGTGTGACTTGATTGGAATCTGATGAAATCTCTCTGGGATAAGGGACTTGGCAGACATATGTTGTGAAGGAAGAGAGTGTGTGGCATAAGATTGATAAAACTTGTCCAATGGAGTATGCGGCGACGATCACTGTTAATCCATTGACGGCTTTACGGATGCTTGAGGACTTTGTAGTCTTAAATTCTGGTTTGTCACTGTATCTATCCATCTCTAAAGTAACAATTGGCTCTTTACTTGCTTTTTGGCTTACCAAAAGTAATCCTCTGAAGCAGGAGATTCTGTGGTACAGAATGGTGCAACAAGTATTGTTGGTCAATGTGTCATCCAGTTGGCGAAACTCCGTGGCATCAGTACCATCAACCTTATTCGTGACAGGTTTGATATATATATATATATATATATATATATATATATATTGAATCGAATTCAAGATCTGTCTAGGAACAAGCAGAGCGGCTCTGGTCAAGTAAATTCTGTTTTTTTTTGCTATTGACTTTAGGGCTGGATCGGATGAAGCAAAAGAGAGCCTGAAAGCTCTAGGTGCAGATGAAGTATTTTCAGAGAGTCAACTGAATGTAAAGAACGTTAAAAGTCTTTTGGTAAGACTGAAGTCTAAGCAATTATATAGCTGAAACTTCGATCATATAATATGCTTAACATGTGTGTGTGTTGGTGTGGTTAAGGGAAATTTGCCTGAACCATCTCTGGGATTTAACTGTGTTGGTGGCAGTGCTGCCTCTCTCGTTCTCAAATTTCTGAGGTACACTGAAAAGCCCCTCTTTTTTGCACTTTCATTTGCATTCCGGTTGTGCTGAAGGTATTGAAATCATGAATATTTCAGGGACGGAGGAACCATGGTAACATATGGTGGGATGTCTAAGAAACCAATCACTGTTTCAACAACATCTTTCATCTTTAAGGTACTGGATAGATTGTTAGGTTCGGTTCACATTTACTGGCAAAATGACCATTTACTTAAGCGTACAGACTGGTTTTCTGCTGGCTCATGACTCGGAAGTCGTTGTGGTTTATGGATTTCGTGCACTGTGTCAAAAGTTTGATTGATCGTCTTGCAGGATTTGGCCTTGAGAGGATTCTGGCTGCAGAATTGGTTGAGTATGAGTAAAGTAAAAGAATGCAGAGAGATGATAGACTATCTCCTTGGGCTTGCGCGGGACGGAAAGCTAACATACGAGTGAGTCTTTTAACCTTTAACTTCCGGCAAAGTATCTATCTTCGGGTCACCATTTTAAATCAACGGTTGTGGTTTCTTTCTTCTGACAGAACGGAACTGGTTCCTTTCGAAGAGTTTCCTGTTGCTCTTGAGAAAGCTCTCGGGAAGCTAGGCAGGCAACCTAAACAAGTCATCAGATTCTGAAAGCTTCACCTTCTTGTGAGCCATTTAGTATGTTTCTGCCACTATGTCAGTGTTAGCTATGATGCACAATGTACTCTATGTTGTACTTTATGCTTCTTCTTGTCCAGTGTAGACTGAAGAAAACCGAAATAAAATATTTATACTCATGTTCATAGTTGCATCTTTTTTTGGGTGCAATCATAGTTGTATCTTTATGGTCAGATGTTGATTTTACTAATCTGTTGATACCGAGAAAGCTATCAAACTATCACATATGTGATCACGACGACAGCAATACAAACGATATCTGATCAAATCGCTGGTCGTTAATCGGTATGGCTGGTTATTTTCAAATGGTTTTCGTCTGGTCTGCGAAGGCACAGTAAATGCAATAATGTGTGTTTGAAGCTCGAGCAAAGCATATGGAGAGAGGCATAAAAAAAAAAGAAACAATTTCATGTTATGAGGTCTTAGGAGGGGGTATTGGTGGCAGTAATTCAATGGAATTTAAAAGAATTGGCTATTCCATTTCAATTCCTGTGTTATTCGAGTATATATTTTTTCAATTCTTTTAAATTCCGGTGTTATTCGGTAAAGGATTTGAAGTCATTCTTTCCAATTCCTTTGAATTTCGGTGTTATTCAAATTCTCAATTTTTCAATTCCATTAAATTCCGGTGTTATTCAATATTAGATGTATTTGGTGGTATTGTCATTTGGAAGGAATTTAATAGAATTTGAAGAAAAATTTGTAAAGACTCAATTCTTCCATTTTTGCAGAGATTTTGATAGAATTGACTGAATTCTCAACAATTACTTTAAAGTACTTCAAAATCCATTAATTTTTAATTCTTCACAATTCTTCCTAATTCTATAAACCAATACCCCCCCTTAAGGTTTCTTAAATTTACGTAAAAAAAGAAGAATTGCATGATATTGCACAAATAGCACTACAGTTCTCCAAATTTATCGCAAAAGAAAAATTAACTGTAACGGCATTCAAAAAGAACCCTAAAAAGCTGCGTGGTGGTTGGTGAAAAAACAGATTGTAACGACAGCATTCGCAGCCGTCACTCACACTCATCCATGGATGAGTCCAAACAGTCACCTCTGTAAAACTTTCCATAATCGGAATGAAAACCCTCAGATTGATTTTGTTTGGTGATAGTATAAATATCCTCAAAATTTTAATGAGTTTACAAACCCACTGTTATATTGTTTGACCAAAAGTTTGATTAAATTTTGTAAGACCCAAATTCCCGTCTCTTCCAAATCGGAACCCTAAATCCGTATCCCGCCGCGTTTTCCTCTGCAAGTTTACTAAATTCTCGTTGGTGCGAATCCTATTCCTTTTTTTCTCCATCCTTACCTGAATTCGCAATTATAGTTTCCTTTGAGAATTCCGTTGGATATATTTTTGTTTATATTTGATTTGGTGATAAAATTGATTTTTTGGTTTCCCATGGATTCTCAATTCCAAAACCCTAGATTTGTTTTCCGTAGAAACATTAATGAATCTATGCTACACACAAAAAGGCATCGTTAATTTAGAGCTTAGTTTGATAATCAGGTTCCCACAAAATTGGGGAATTCTAATTTGACTCCGATTGCTCCCGACTTCTTCTTCTTCTTATGGTTCTATGTCATTGCAGGTCTCTCGTAGAAAAATGGAACAGAGAAGAGAATCATCTTCTCGCATGGGGTTTCAAAGTGGTCGCGTGGCTGAGGAAAATACAATTTCAAGTAAAGATGAATATTTTTACTCTTTGCTTGAGAAAAAAATTATAGATTTGATAGTGTTCAATTTGATATCATCCTTTGAATTGGATTGCCTTCAATGTCAGGGATTCGAAAGAAAGTGAAGAACTCTGAGTCCATTGCGTTAAAAAGGATTGGGAATTATGATTTCTTAGTCCTTAATGAGGTATTAGATGATGTCTACTCTTCTTCTCGACCAATCTCTGCTGAATACGAGACGAGGCAGGACTTAGTGAAGAGCCTCAATGCTATGGCTCTTAATATTTATGGTAATTGACTAATTGTAACAACATCATTTACCTGTAGTATAGTCTCTTCACCTTGTTAAGCAGAGGTTTTTAACTCTCTTTTGTTTCTGTGTGTCTCTCTCTCATCAGTAAATTGTGAAGAGGGCAGCCCGGTTCTTGAGGCGTATGGGTCTTTTGTGATGGATATGTTTTCATCGCAGAGTGATTTAGACGTATCCATCAACTTTGATAAGGGTACGTCTCATCTTCCTCGTCAGAGGAAGATCCAAATCCTTAGAACATTTGTGGAAAGGCTCCAGTCTCTGCAGGGTAAGTTTCATTTGGTTGTTTTATTCATCTGTTCTTGTTGTTGTGTGATTGCATGATTCGAATAGATTCTAAGTCGATGGACGTTGTTTAATGTGTATGCTATAGCTAACTCACGTTATGGAATTGTCTCTAGTATATGAAATGAACTTCATTTATTGGTATGTGAAACTAAAGTGATAACATTTGTTAGAATGATGTGAACTTATATTTTGTAGGACAAGGGCATGTTAGGAATGTGAAACCTATCCTCGGTGCTAGGGTGCCAATTGTCAAATTCGTTGATCAAGGGACTGATGTCACATGTGATTTGTCTGTCGGAAACAAAGACGGCATTTTAAATTCGCACATCATTCACATTATATCTCGAATTGATGACAGGTTTCATAAACTTTGTATGTTGGTAAGATCTTAGGTTCTCTTCTAAAAGAATTTAGTTGCTCTTTTTTGGCTATATATTGGTTTTAGTTGTGGTACTCAATAGAAATGTGACTATTTTCCAATGTCAGGTTAAGCATTGGGCCAAAGCACATGAAGTTAACAGTGCGCCAGACGGAACCTTGAATTCCATATCGATAACGGTGCTAGTCGCTCATCATTTACAGGTATCAACTCAGCCGCTCTTGTTAGTTGGTCATTTGACTCTACTTTATCATATGCTGAATCTCTGTGTTTAATGCAGACTCAAGATCCTCCCATTTTACCTCCATTGTCTGTACTATTTAAAGGTAATACTAGTGCCCTCCATTGCTTAAAACAAGAGAAGAACGATGTGTTTTTGAGCCACATTCATGTGTTTTGTGGCAAATTCACCATTTGCAAAGTCTCTTTGGACTTATATATATCAGTACATTTTTTCATGCTCTCAGTTTCTGGACACCATGTCATATCATCTTTTATGTCGTTTCAGATGGAACTGATCCTTCCAATGTGGAGAAAAGGACCCAGAAGTTCTTGAAATGGGGACAACGGAATAAAGAATCTTTGGGTAGACTGTTTGTAACATTTTTTGTCAAGGTGATAACAAGTTTAAACCCAAAACACCAACCAGAAAGCAAAGCTGCACAACCTGCTGTTTTATAACGAAACTCCCATTTTTGTTTCTTCGTATTGCAGATGCAGTCGATAGAGTTCCTTTGGAGGCAAGGACTCTGCGTCAGTTCGCTAAGCGGCCTTTGGATATCCAGAAAGTGGAAGAAATCGTCCATTAATGTAACTAACTTTTGATGCCCCCACATTCTATAATAATTTAATTTGCACTCTCTTGATTGTTTCTGATTCGGTGTGTGATGATGACAGGTTGAGGATTTTCTAGACGTGTCTCAGAATTTAGCTAGGACGGTTACTGGCGAAGGAGCTAAAGAGATTTAAGGTAGTATAAACAAAACTGTCGAAGATCTCTTTGAATTCCTCAACGGCAAGCTGGATGGGTTACAACTCAGAGACATCTTGTTCAGGAAACAAGCTGTGATGGAGTCTCTTCCTCCTCCTCCTCCTCCTAGTCGTCATCTTCCTCCTCCTCCTCCTCCTCCTAGTCGTCTTCCTTCTGTGCGGCCATTCAATGTTTACGCACAACAGCCTCACAACGACTATAGAAACGAGCTCAACGATCGCCCTGAGATTCGTCATAACAAAAGAGTCTGCGTGGTCAACGGATACAAAGCGGTGGAAACTGATTACAGGAGAGAAGAAGACAGATTCGAGGATCTCCGGAAAAGGTATGCTGGAAACTACAATGGTTTTAGACAGATTCATGATGTTTCTCGGTATGGAGTCCAGCATAATAGGCCCTTAGAGGATCCTTATAGACACTCAGTCCCATCTTGGAATGGCGGAGGGAATGGTCATTTGGTTCACCATAGGCATGATGGTAGATATGGTGGTGAAGAACCAATGCCTGTAGGTCATTTGGTTCACCATAGGCATGATGGTAGATATGGTGGTGAAGAACCAATGCCTGTAGGTTCGTGGCGAGACTATGGTCGTAGAACAGATCTGCCAGAACCAATGCCTGTAGGTCCGTGGCGAGACTACGGTCGTAGAACAGATCTGCCAGAACCAATGCCTGTAGGTCCGTGGCGAGACTACGGTCGTAGAACAGATCTGCCAGAACCAATGCCTGTAGGTCTGTGGCGAGACTATGGCCGTAGAATAGATCTGCCTCCCCCACCGCCACCGCCACAGCCACCACTACCTTATGGTAGAGTAAATTATGAGACTTTTGGTCCTCCCCAGCCTTATTTTGGTAGACGATCGTTTTACTAGTAGGGTTCTTGTTCAGCAAAGTTAAAAATACCTATCACCAACCATTTTTAGAAGATGAATGTAACTTCATGTTTTACACAGTAATTGGCTCGATTAGAATACATTTCTCTTGTAATCCTACTCCTTCAAATTCCTTTATAAAATCAATTTTTGGTAGAGTTCAGGTTTTGGCCTTCTGTTTACTCTAGTTGTCTTGAGAGGAATTATTACGGATGTGAATTCAAGTAACTATAGCTTTGGTTGATGAGTATAATGACATATTGACATGATTGCTTTGTTTCTTACACAGTTTAAACGAAATTTTGTTCTGACTTTTTGTGTGTTTTGATTGCATTGCAGGATCTGGATTGCCGGATTTGGACTTGGATTGCCGGATTTGTAGACAACTGTTACTTTTATTTATTGGCTGTAACAATTTTGACTTCTAAAAATAGGTTGTTCCTTTAGAAGATAAGTAAAATCCCATTTTTGTTGCCTTTTAGAGAGAAAAAAATCCATCTTCAGAACAAGATGATATTCTTCGTTATGGTATTCTGCCAACCTCAGGTGATATGGTGAAAACAAAATTATCATTTTTTCAATATAAGAATCAAAGTTAGCTTTGCTTTGTGGACTCTCTTGTCAAAATGAAATCAACTGCTTCCTCCACGGTGTCAACTACCTGAACAAGTTTAAAAAGTTTTCCATTAAGAGATTTACGCTCGCAGGAACAATAATAATAAGAAGCTTCTAAAGGCTAAAAGTGATGGTGTTTTGTTACTTACAAGATCAGCAGGAAACTCAGAATGATTATCTTTCCCTTTGAAAACTCCGGTTCTTGTCAAGATTGAGAACCACGGATTCCCGGCCTGTCGTACAGATTATAACCCAATGGTTTAAATACGGTAAAGATCAGAAGGAATGTTTTCGTGGCGACAAAACCAACTCTAGTACGAGAGAAAAGAGCACAAAGTACCTGTCGTGCGCCTCTGATATCGATCTTAGGGTTGTCTCCGACCATATACAGTGTCCTGAAGTTGTGGCTTCCTGAATCTGAATGGGAATGAGTGATTTCTTTGAGAACATCTTCTGCGTTCTTGAACACGAATGGATTTGGCTTCCCAAAAGATGTGTACTCTAGAGGGTTATCATGGATTCTGCATATAATCTCACATTTGTTACGCCTTTTCAACACCAGTCTCGTTGTTCACTGTCATAAGAAAGATGCGTGCATGATTTTGGCTTATTACCTGTTGAAGATGGATTCTAAGGCGATTCTAAAAGCTCCCATGCCAAGACGTTCAGTAGGAAACGCAGTCTGTTTTCAGTTCACAATGCATTAGAATCCCATTTGATAAGTCAAAAGATTGGAGAAGAATGAAGATCAACAGAACCTGATAGTCTAAATCGTCGTTTGCAAAGTACAAATGAGGTTGAGGTCCAATTTCTCTCCCAGGAAGTCCTCCAGTTCGTAATATGTCACAGAGGACCTGAGTCAAAGCATCAAAATCAGTATTCGCTGTGAGAAGGCTCAACAACAAAAATTCAAAATAGCAAAGAGGAATGAATGATAACCTGAATGTCTCGGCTCCAATCAACCGGATCACTAACTATAAATGCTGCATGAACTCTCTCGGATACAACATTAGCTCTTGATCTAGTCTCCTTGCGACTGTCTTGCCCGGTCATCGATTTCTTATATGGCGCCAAGGGATCAATGTTGTCAAAGTAAGAGGCGTACTCGTCCAATGAAATGACGTTTCTGAAAATCCATAGCCACATATATAATAAATAACATGAACATACGTTTGAAGCACAAACAAACGGAAAGAGCCCTGAGCTTACTTGAAACCATAGTTAGACATCACAGCGGCTGGTTCCCCTTTTCCAGCTGCAACAACGAGCTCATTTCCAAACCTGGTCCAAGTATGGAGTTAAACGGTTTGCTGACCGAAACAAGGAGTCGAAGTTGATACAATCAGTGCATGCGTAACTCAGTGGCTATGTGATTTTGATTACACATTTTGCAACCTCTGTACTGCCTTGACATGCCAACTGATGAACAGTGTGTGTATTTATACTAGAGGTTGAAATGTAAGGGGAGAGACTTAATCTATGTAACCTACCTATTCACTAGCTTCCGGAAAGGTGAATGTCCTTGTACCACCTGCAGCATGAACAGAGCGAAGAGGATGCATCAAAAGTGTTAACACTTTCTGAAACTAACTATAGAAAGTAAGTGACGTGACAAGGTCTTAACCTGCAAGGGAGAAACATTAACACCCAATAATTGACTCATTTCAGAGGCTCGTTTAGATTCAGGGAGGCCACCTCCTGCCACCATAACCAATGAAATCTCCAGATTAAAAAAAGGCACTCATTCCTTTGGACCCATTTTGAGACTGTATCCAAATGATTTTCCATGCTAAATATCTTTCTCACTTGTGTTTTTGATTTTGTTTTGGACTTAACTATTAAGGTAAAAGGGGATAAAAATCCAGCATTTATAGTAAAAGGCTCACCATTAGTCAAGAAACAAAAAGGTATCTTCAAAGCACCTGAAAAAGAAGCAAAAGAAGCCTCAAACTCATTAAAGACAGCTGTTGATTCTACACAAATCTAGCACCCGTTAGATTGATAAAACATAAAGAAGAGATTACAATTAAACCTAATAATTTGGCTTAGAGACTATAGAGTCAATCTCTGTCTCCTCCATTGAATTTCAATAAAACTAAGAATTCGGATAAGAAGATTCACGTGCTCCAAGAAAACAGGGGAAGTTTGTTTTTTTAAGAACCTTAAGCTAGTAGACAATCACATTTCCATCTTCCAGAAAAACAAAGAGCAGCTTCGGAGCATCAATCAATAAAGAGAGCTTGTAGTGCATACCGGAATCATCGTAGAGTCGTCGGAGCGCGCCAGGGGAGCCGCCAACGGGGGAGGAACCAAGAAGAATAACGCCATCGATGTCGAATGCAATGCCATAACACGGTCTGTGTTTTTTTTTTCAGAATCAGAAAGAGAGGTAGTGAGCAAAATGAATTAATCGCTCGCCGGCGACGAATCCAACGGAGGAATGCAGCCGCAGAAGAGGAGAGCTTACCGATTTGATTCCGGTGAGAGGTTACAGAAGGAACGAGATGGTGATCGGAGACTAAAATCCCTTCGCCGCAGCGAATTTCTCGCTAAGATTCGAAGATGGTTCATGTTTACTTATCAAATTCTGCGGCCGGCGAAAAAAAAAGAATAATTCTGGTGGGATTAACGGAGAAGGTTAATATACTCTTTACTCTTTAACCATATACTTTTGTTTTCTAGACATTTCACCTCAAACTTTTGGTAATTTCAGTTTCATCCTCTTATCAAAATCAGATTTACATGTTTCAGACACGTTTAATCACCCGTGTAATAATTTAGTTAAAAGTAATCACATTTCACTAGCCATATACTGAATTACTATTTTTGTATGAGTATGAATTATGAACACATTTCACTAGCCATATACTTTTGTTTTCTAGACATTTCACCTCAAACTTTTGGTAATTTCAGTTTCATCCTCTTATCAAAATCAGACTTACATGTTTCAGACACGTTTAATCGCCCGTGTAATAATTTAATTAAAAGTAATCACGAACTGAATTACTACTTTTGTATGAGTATGAACTATGAACACATTTCACATCCAAATAAAAATCAAAAACGGATAAACTTTCTAAACAAACATAACTTTTTTTTTACAAAGATACAAAAACATTACCCCAACCGGCCAACCCAAACTATATACAACACATCTTCAAACGAACGAAAATCAATTCGAAAAAGAGGAGTGGAAAAAAAGAAGAAGTCCACAATTATATTACAACTTTACAAAGCAAGAAACGAACCGATCTGATCTCCTTGCATATATGATACAAAAATTGCAACTTGAAATTTGATGATCTATCCGATCAACTTCTGTAGGAAAGGGGTTGTCCTGGAAGATTGATGAATCTAGCATGGCGGCGGCTTAGCCTCCTCTCTTGCTGTCAACGTCGTGGTAGTTCTGGGTCCATGGCGAGGTCGCCGATCTGATCAGATCGCGAGCGATCAAGATCTTGATTCGGCTTCTCCTCGGAGGAGGCGAGACGATGGAGCTCGCCGATCTGACTAGATCGCGAGCGATCATGATCTTGATTCGGCCTCTCTTCGGAGGAACGGTTCCGGAGCTGTTATGAGATGGAAACTCCATGGTCGCAAAATCTAAGATCTTTGTGAAAAAAGAAGAGGAGAGAAATCGAAAGAGTAGAGCAGAGAGAAGAGTTGGGATGCGAATAACAGAGCGTAGAGAGTGAGGTTATATAATAGAGTCCGAGTCTGAGTCAGAGACACAACAGCATAGACCAAGTCCTTTCACTTGGAGAACAAGCAACGTAGGCTTAATTTGCTTAAACGAAGGAAATGCGTAATTAATTAAATTAAACATGTAGGATTAACTGTGGAATTAGTGAAGGGTTACGATTGGTTAGAAGACGCGGCATTAGAGACACGTGTCAGTTGTGATCACTCCCGTCACACGCTAGTACAGTCGTTGTCGGTGACTCGCCGGTGTTGATCTCGGTACCTGAATATATAGTGTGAAACTGTGAATTACTATATAATTTTTGGTCTCTCTTGTAGAAGATACGGCTTATCTGAGTTATCTCAATTAAACATGTATTGTACTTTTTTTTGTCGTGACTCGTGTGTAGTTGTACTTTTTATCCGGTCATTTAATTTTCTCTAATTGCAAATACTAGGTTTTAGATCTCTATTGATTCCCTTAAATCTATACATATTTTGCTAACTACTATGATACTATCTTATCGTTCGTTTGACAGACGAGACGTAAATGGTTCATCTTCATACACACCGCTACAAGTAGCCATATTTGATTTGATGACATGGCACTCGTATTTGTAACTAGCAAAAATGAAATTATAGTTTTATACCGGCGATTAAAATATTAATTCATATTTAAGAGTACGCCAATAAATAATGGCGTATACTTATGTTAATTCCCAAAGTGGCGTATACCTTTCAATATTAACATAGTATACGGCCTACCAATAGTTCGGAATAGTAATATTTGAGATTCAAAAGGAATCATTTCTTACATTAACTTTCGAAAAAGAGAGGAAAACTAAATGCATGTTACAAATAGTTTACAAGTCCTCATACAAACTAAAACAACAAAAAAATTGTCCCCAAAATCTTCAATATATCTTACATAATGTACATAATTAGTTGCAGTTGTAGATGATGGATTCACGGTGAATCGGTGATCGTCGGCGTTTGCGGTGGAAGGAGGGGGCCGGCGGCTCTCGTTTCTTCCACGACGACGAAACGATCGAAACCGTAAATCTAAAGAGTTGACGTGCGATTGAAATCTTGACTTGGCCTCTTCTCGGAGGAAGCGATTGCTCGGTTTTCCTAGAGTTGTTGTCAGATAATACCTCCATTCTTTAAATATAAAAAGGGAGATTGAAGATTTCTGATATTTATAAAGAAAACAGATATGAGATATTTATGAGAGAGAGAGAGAGAGAGAGAGTGTGATGTGGCAAAAATGAGAGAGTGAGACACTCTTTTTATAAAGACAGAGCATACTAGCATAGAACCTCTGTTTTGGATTTCACTTGGTGGCCAAGCCAACATTTTTCAATTTTTAATTACTACCACAAAACGTGTGGAACAAGTAGGAGGGCTTAATTGATATAATATTATCAATATATTTATCCCTTTGTATCCTACCAAGTTCATTAAGAAAATTCCAGTAGAAATAATCAAATAACAAAATAAACAGTTATGAATGAAAAATGTTCTTAACAAAAAGAAACAGCCATATAAAACATTTTTACTAGGTTTACTATTATTAATAGACTATGTTTGAATATTTTCTCGTATTGCTACAATTTGGATTGCTTTTGATAATTTATAGAACCATGAATTTTGAGCATGTGAATATCCTTTTGTAAACAAGATATAGTTTGTTGACAAGATTACTCTGACGATAAAACAATCTGTAACCACATTCAAATAAATTTCTGAAGAGATATTCCGATGAAACGTAAATCTTGTATTCTTTTTTTCGTAACCTCAAATTCATTCGATATTTCGATTCAATATCTATTAGATTGCTTAAGTTTAGCAATTCATAGGTTTCCGAGCTAGATTGCAGAAGTCATCTTCAATCATTAATGTCTATAAATATCAAAAGATATGAGAGTATTTAAATAAAAAATTATTCAAGACATGGAGACAAATATAAAAACTGAAACAAAATATGTTTGTGTCTCATGTTGTAACATCTTTAACATCTTGCCCTTGGCCATTATCATCTTGGAATTTTGTGTACGTGTAAAACCAAGAACATACAAGGAAATAGCCAAAGTTCAAAACACCTCCAATGACCAAAACCCAATACACATTGTCCACTCTCCCTTGGTTAATATCATCTGGTAACCAAACAGTGTTCTTCTGTATCAAGTCGATCAAAGCTGTACTCAGATAAAAGGAGATTCCCATTGCCACCGAAGTCACCGAGGTCGCTGTGTTCTTCAGCGACTCAGGGAATTCTCCATAGAACACTACAGCATTCGCCAGATAATGGAACGCATCGCCGATTCCGACTATCACAAGAGGAGGAATCAGCCACAAAACCGACATGAGATCTTCACTTTCAACTGTTTTCAGCCTCTTTGCTTCCACAATCGCGGAGACCGCCATGCTTAAAATGTTCAAAACCTGTCCTATACCGACTTGTTGAAGAGGTGTCATCTCCTTATGTGTTAGCTTCTTGTACATTGGAAAGATAGTCCACTTGTTGAGCACGAGAAAGACGCATGAAAAGATGAGTACTACAACTTGTAGAGAACCCGCAGGGACTTCGAAATGAGAGCCGAGTCTTCGGTCTGTGACCAGTGCTTGTAGGACCATCAAGCTTGCTTGAACACCAATGGAAGTTCCGAGAAAAAGGATGGCTAACCACAGAGGTACAAGTCGGAGAATGGATTTGAAATCTTCTACTTCCTCAACAGAGCATAGCCTCCACATGTTGATAACTGACCCATCTTTCTGATTTAAGTCCTCTTCTGTCCTCAATGCTGCTCTGTTCAAGAACCTGCATATATACTAAACTCTATCAGTCCAGAATTTTCAATTTCAAGAACATGCAACGTTGATGTTTAAATTTCAAGAACATGCAAAGGTTTATGTTTCACTTTCAAGAACATGCAACGTTGATGTTTAAATTTCAAGAACTTGCGAAGGTTTATGTTTAAATTTCAAGAACATGCAAAGGTTTATGTTTAAATTTCAAGAACATGCAAGGTTTATGTTTTACACCTGAAGCTATTGGAGGGAATTGCTGTAAAATTCTTGGACTCTCTTCCGAGCACACGGTGATAGTCTTCTTCTTTGGAAGAAACCACATCCTTCCTTTTCACTAAAGAAGCTACTAAAACGCGGATCAGGGTCTTGAAAGGACTTCCCATGGGCTTTTCATGGTTGTAGAATCTCTTCCCGGAGAGGAAAACGATGAAACTGATCAGATTCGCAGCTGCACAGAGACCGAACCCGAGTTTCCAGCTAGCATTGTCCTGTGTATAAACAATCGCTGTGGCGCTAACAATGGCGCCTGCGTTTACGGTGAGGAAGTACCATGTAAAGAAGCTATCTTTATGTTTATGTTTCTCGTATTGGTTCGCACCCGCGGACGCTAAACTCACACGTGTCCCAGCTGTTCCGACGGTCACTAGAGCTAAAGCAGAATACAAGATCCAAAGCTGGAGTTTTGATGGTGATTCGCATAGGATAGACCCTGTTTCACAAGGTTGAGGTATCAACTTGTTAAAAGATGCGATTAGAGTCAAGAGAACAATGCCCTGAAAAAACAAGTTTTAAACTTTTTGTATCAGAAGATAAAAGAGAAGTGATGAAATAAAAAGAATGAGTCTTTGTTGGACTTACGAGCAGAGAAATGAAAGCGGTGGAGATGACAGGAATGTTTCCGAAGAAAGAATCGGTTATAATGGCTGTAACAACAGGCAAGATGCTGAGGCAACCATTGACGATGTTTGAAATCTGAGCAGCTGCGATGCTCTTGATGTTGAATTCCTCGATCAAGAAGACGATCAAGTTTAATACCCATCCATAAGATGTCACGGAAATGCCTAACAACGTAACTGCACCACGTAGAACCTTAAGAGATCATCAAGATTGGAAGATGGCTTTATAAACATAGACAACCAAAAAGTTTACTAACCTATCATGAACGGAAAAGTGATCAAGCCGCCGCGTTTGGAATCACCGGAGCTCTGAGTCTCTGTATCACCAGAAACTAAACCAGCCATGACAGAACAGAGTAAGTTGAGATATGGTTTTAGTGAAATAAATGTGTTAATGGTCTTTTTTTATACTTGAAAAACACTTTTCTGACAGCTAGTGAATTATAAATAACTCATCGTGATTGTGATTAGGGAAACACTAAGATGAGTTGACCATAAGACTTCATGCATCCACTAGTCATATTAAATTTAAGAAATAAGTTTTTAATTCTCATAAAATCAACAAGAAAATCTTGATGCAAAAGTTGTAGGTCCACGCTCCTTCCACAGTATAAAATATAACTCAATCATCAAATTATTCCATTGCATGGTTACATATAAACTGAAAGATCTGTACATGTAACAAACCTAATTTCGTTAGAACCTCAAGATCATTTTCACTTTTGTAAACTTAAAATATCAACAACCAAATGAATGCAGTGCATCAAACTGATATGTCATTAATGAGCTTCCAAATAGTTGTTGTGTGATTAGCTTTGAATTCATAGGGCTTTAGACTATTATAATTTTTTTTTGTTGCTTCTTGTGGTGGCAACCTCTGTTCTAAAGGTAGTTCAAAAATGGTTCATCTAATAAGAAAACACTGTTATCAAATGGTAAAAATTAAGGAAACAGAAAAGCTAAAGGATCACGTAAGATATTTATTGTACACACGGCGACTATATATGTAACGGAAAACTAAGAACAAAACATGTTGTGTCTTAAGTTGTAACATCTTTAGGATCTTGTTCATGAACATCATCATCTTCGAGGTTTCTGTATCTGTAAACCCAAGAACAGACAAGGAAATAGCCGAAGTTCAAGATTCCTCCAATGACTAAAACCCAGTAAACATTGTCAACTCTTCCATGGTTAATGTCGTCTGGTAACCATGCGGTTGTCCTCTGGATCACATCGGTCAGAGCTGTGCTCATATAATAAGAGACACCAATCACGACCGAGGTCAATGAAGCCGCAGTGTTCTTAAGAGAATCAGGGAACTCTCCATAGAACACTGCAACATTCGCCGGTAAATGAAAGGCCTCGCCAATTCCAACCACCACAAGTGGAGGAAATAGCCATAGCACTGACATGGAATGGCCATTTTCAACTTCTTTCAGCCTCTTTGCTTCCACAACCGCGGACATCGCCATGCTTATGATGGTGATAACATGGCCTATCCCGACTTGTTGAAGCGGCGTCAGCCTCTTCCGGATTAGCTTCTTGCACATGGGATAGACAAGCAAGCTATTCACTATCAGAAATGCTATTGTGGAGACGGTTGATATGACTTGGAGAGACCCGGCAGGGACTTTGAAGTTAGATCCGATTGCTCGGTCCATGGCCAGACCTTGGAGGACAGTCAAGGTTATTTGCATGGCCACAGGGGTGCTGAGGATGATGACTGATGCCCAGAGAGGTAAAAGTCGGAGAACGGCTTTGAAATCTTCAACTTCCTGAACAGAGCATAGCCTCCACTTGCTATGACTTGAATCGTCTTCTTTGGTCTTCAACGCTGCGGAATTCAAGAACCTGCACATGTAACAAGAAATGAATCTTCAAGTTTCAAGAACGAACACAGCTTAGTCAGGTAAGCTTTTTCTTGTTTTTTTCTCACCTGAAGCTCTCGGAGGGCACTAAAACAGTGGTGTTGGCCTCTTTTCCGAGACCATGGTGATAGTCTTCTTCTCTAGAAGAAACCACAGATTTTCTCTTCATAGTAGCAGCGACTACAACTCGGGCCATGGATGTATAAGGACTTCCCATTATTTTTTCAGGCTTGTAGAATCTCTTCCCGGAGATGAAAACAATGAAACAGATGAGGTTTGCGGCGGCGCAGAGACCAAACCCGAGTTTCCAGCTAGCGTTGTCTTGAGTATATACAATCGCTGTCGCGGCTGTAAGAACGCCTATGTAACCTGCGAAGAAGAACCAGTTAAAGAAGCTTTGTTGATCTTTAGGTTTCTCATGTTGGTTTGCACCAGTAGCCGCCAAGGTGAACCGTGACCCGCCTGAACCAATGGACGCTAGAGTTAAGGCTGCGTACAAGAAACCGAGCTGGAGTTTCGACGGCGATTGGCATAGAATCGAGCCTGTTTCACATTTTTGAGGTCTCAAGTGGTTTAAAGATGCCGTGAGTGTCAAGGCAAAGATTCCCTGTAGAACAAGAATTTAAAACTGGTGAACTTTTTTGTATCATAACATTACAAGAGAATCGATAGTGAGGTCTTGGACTCACAATAAGAGAAATGAAAGTTGAGATTGAGACGATAGGAATGTTTCCAAAGAAAGAATCAGCTATAATGGCTGCAACGAGGGGAAACATGTTGACGCATCCATTGATAATGTTGGAGATCTGAGCAGCAGCTATACTCTTTATGTTGAATTCCTCGATTAGGTAGACGATCAAGTTCAGTAACCATCCGAAAGAAGTTAGAGAGAGACCTAAGAACGTAGCTGCACGACAAAGAACCAGAGAATATGATCAACCATATGGTTTGTGAAGTTTACAACGTTGAAAACATTGAAGAAACCTTTATATACTCACCCGCTACGAACGGAAAAGTGATCCAGCCGCCGCGTTTTCTGCTTGGATCGGTAGAGCGATGCGCTTCTGTGTCGCCAGAGACTGCATCGGCCATGACAGAGAGAGCAGAAGTAAGTAGGAGTAAGTTTCACTTTTGTGTATGTTGCAGAGAAAAGGCTTTTTGACTATATATAAAAGAAATATACAAAAGAGGTGGGTTGCCTAAATGATTTGAGCAATCAATAGTAATCTTGTTTTTTTACTCGTAAAAATACGTAATTAGGTATTGACATTTGATCCTCTCTTGTCGTTAAGGAACAACGTGTTTGGTGAATGTAATAAAGAAATGTCTCGTCTTTTTGTGATTAAAATATCTCTGCTGGTTATTTTTTAGTCTCTAACAGAATTTTCTCTCTTTCACACGTACTCTTTCCATCAGTTGTGACAATTTGCTAGATATATCTAAGTATTACCAATTTGCTCATTCATTTATCAACAAATAGATCAATTGATTTAATAAAACCAACTTAACAAGTTCATTGTCTTTATTATTATTTATCAGGTAAAACGGAATAACGTATCAAGAGGATGGACCATTTGAGTATACAGTGTTCATTTCTTTTCATAAGGTGCAGTATCTTCAAACTGTTGTCAAAGTGACTGAGTTGGGGTTTTTAGTGATTTTTAGTATTATATTGTAGCTTCTTGTGGTGGCAATCTCGATCTGTTCATTATATATGTTTGTTTTGTTTTCAACTTGGAATTGAGTGATTGTATTGAGGTTCTATACTTTGTTTATATATAGAGTTAGCTTGCTCTACAAGGGAAAAGGGAATATACAAAAGTAATTACACAATAACTCTAGCATCAATTAGGTGATTTTTCTTGATCATCGAAGTTGGTGTTTCCATATTCTACCAGTGGTAACCTTTGTTCTAAAAGTAGTTTAAATGTAGTATTAAAAGTTGGCGCAGCGAAACTAACGAAATCAGGAGTCGTTGATTCGTAAGAATACCGACAGCGATTTATATCTTGATCAATATCCTTTGATTCAGTGGAATCGATGAGCAAGTGAAAGAGAGAGAACGTACGATAGTTTTTTATTCATCAATTCAATAATCAGCTGCTTGTCTCAGAGCATAAGGTGCCTTCATATAGAGGCTTACAAAGCGAAAACTCTAACGTAAAAGAAAAGACAGAAGAAAGCCTAAGTAAGATAAAAGCCCAAACGAAACTAAAGTCTTAGAGTAATAACTAAAACGAAACAGAGAAGCTAACTGGTCCACAAAGAGTAAGAATTTTATTCAAGACAAGGTGACTCTGTAGAGAAAACTAAGAACATATACAACATGTTGTGTCTTGTTACGTTGTAACATCTTTAGGATCTTGTTCATGAACATCATAATCTTCGAGGTTTCGGTATCTATAAACCCAAGAACAGACAAGGAAATAGCCGAAATTCAAGATTCCTCCAATGACCAAAAGCCAGTAAACATTGTCAACTCTTCCATGGTTAATGTCGTCCGGTAACCACGCGGTGGTCTTCTGAATCAGACCGGTCAGAGCTGTGCTGATATAGTAAGAGACTCCAATCACCACAGAGGTCAATGAAGCCGCCGTGTTCTTAAGAGAATCAGGGAACTCTCCATAGAACACCGCAACATTCGCCGGAAAATGAAAGGCTTCTCCAATTCCAACTACCACAAGAGGAGGAAAGAGCCATAGCACTGACATGAGATGTCCATTTTCAACTGCTTTCAGCCTCTTTGCTTCCACAACCGCGCAGATGGCCATGCTGAGGATGGTGAAAACATGGCCTATCCCTACCTTTTGAAGCGGTGTCATACTCTTGCCGGTTAGCTTCTGGTACATTGGATACACAAGCAAACTGTTCAATATCAGAAAGGCGGATATGGACAAAGTTGATATGACTAGGAGAGACCCAGCAGGGAATTTGAAGTGAGGGCCGATTCCACGGTCCATGGCCAGAGCTTGGAGAACAGTCAAGCTCATTTGCATCGCCACAGGAGTGCTGAGGACGATGACGGATCCCCAGAGAGGTAAAAGTCGGAGAACGGCTTTGAAATCTTCAACTTCTTGAACAGAGCATAGCCTCCACTTGTTATTGTTTGATCCATCTTCCTCTTTGGTCTTCAACGCTGCGGAATTCAAGAACCTGCACATGTAAACATTTCTTGTTTCAAGTTTCAAGAAACGAACACAGCTTAGTCAGATAAGCTTTTTGTTGTTGTTCTCACCTGAAGCTCTCGGAGGGCATTAAAACAGAGGTCTTGGCTTCTTTTCCAAGACCCTGGTGATAGTCTTCTTCTTTAGAAGAAACCACAGATTTTCTCTTCATAGTAGCAGCGACTACAACTCGAGCCATGGATGTATAAGGGCTTCCCATTATTTTTTCAGGCTTGTAGAATCTCTTCCCGGAGATGAAAACGATGAAACAGATGAGATTCGCTGCGGCGCAGAGACCAAACCCCAGTTTCCAGCTAGCGTTGTCTTGAGTATATACAATCGCTGTCGCGGCTGTAATCACGCCTATGTACCCTGCGAAGAAGAACCAGTTAAAGAAGCTTGCTTGATCTTTAGGTTTCTCATGCTGGTTTGCACCAGCAGCCGCCAAGGTGTACCGTGACCCGCCTAAACCAATGATCGCTAGAGTTAAGGCTGAGTACAAGAAACCGAGCTGGAATTTCGACGGTGATTGGCATAGGATCGAGCCCGTTTCGCATTTTTGAGGTCTCAAGTTGTCTAAAGATGCCGTGAGCGTCAAGAGAACGATGCCCTAGAAAACGTTTAAATAAAAAAAACTGGTGAGCTTTTTGTATCATAAATAAATAACATTATAAGAGAATCGATACTGAGTCTAAGACTTACAATAAAAGAGATGAAAGTTGTGATTGAGATGACAGGGATGTTTCCAAAGAAGGAATCAGCTACAATGGCTGCAACGAGGGGAAACATGTTGACACATCCATTGACAATGTTTGAGATCTGAGCAGCAGCTATGCTCTTTATGTTGAATTCCTCGATCAAGAAGACGATCAGGTTCAGTAAAAATCCGAAAGAACTTAGGGAGAGGCCTAAAAACGTAGCTGCACGACATAGAACCAGAGAATAAGATCAAACATTTGGCTTTGTAACGTTAAGTCTCACAATTTTCATTTATTGTTATAAAAATTATATAAACATATAACTAAACAAAAATGGCCTATTAGCTCAGTTGGTTAGAGCGTCGTGCTAATAACGCGAAGGTCACAGGTTCGAAACCTGTATAGGCCAACTATTCTACCTTTTTTCTTTTGTTTACCGTTTTCTCAGAAATAAAAAAGGAACATAGAAGAAAATTTATTCACTCACCAGCTATGAACGGAAAAGTGATCCACCCGCCGCGTTTTCTGCTTGGATCGTAAGAATGATGCGCTTCTGTGTCACTAGAGACTGAATCCGCCATGACAGAGAGAGAAGAAGTAAGTAGGAGTTAGTTTCAGTTTTGTGTATGTTGCAGAGAAAAGGCTTTTGTGTATATATATAAGAAAAATACAGAAGAGGTGGTTTGCCTAAATGATTTGAGTAGTTAATGATAATATTTTTTTTACTCGTAAAAATACGTAATTAGGTTTTGAATCCTCTCTTGTCGTCAAGGAACAACGGGGTTTGGTGAATGTAATAAAAAAATTGTCTAGTCTTTTTGTGATTAAAAGATCTCTCTACTGGTTATTGTTTATAGTCTCCAATAGAATTTTCTCTGTTTCATACGTACTCTTTTCCATTAATTATGACAATTTGCAAATTAGGTATCTTGCAAAAACACATGACTGGCTCATTCATTCATCAACTTAAAGAACAGTTGATTTCATTAAACCAAATTCACAAGTTCATTGTCTTCATGATTATCAGGTGAAACGGAAGAACGTATCAAGGGATGGGACCATTTGAGTGTAAAGTGTTCAATTCTGTGTCATGTTATAATGACTTCTTCCGTAAGAGCCAAACACAGAAACCAGTTTAGTAGATAGGATCAATAGAAAGAAGAGTGCAGTTATTCAAACTGTTGTTTTAATGAGCTTAAAACTGTTTCAAAGTGATTGAATTTGAGATATTTAGGGATTTTGAGTAATATATTATTCCCTCCTGTGGTGGCAATCTCTGTTCATTATATATATTTGTTTTGTTTTCAACTTGGAATTGAAATTGAAATCTAGTATATATTAACTACAAGAGTAAGCATTACTTTGACTTGTGTTTGTGTGGAATAATGCAGTTAAATAACAGCCTTAAACTATATACAAATTACAAGCACAAATAAAAAACAATAATGTTGGTCCAATGATCTTGTTGGGTCCAAAAACTACCTACTCATGTTCTGGCATTCCATCTACGGTTGTCGTATTCCAATATACGGTTGGTAAATGTAATAAAAAACTATAAAAGATAGTGTCAGATCTTTAAAAGTCGTATCCACTACTCATCAGAATAGTAGTATTCACTTCGAATAATCTTTTATTTTTATGAACTAATTAGTATACACATGAAGCAACGAACAAATGTTGTTTTCAAGATCCTTTGTGTCACAAGTGAGTGTCCCAGCCATTACAGAGCACTTGGGAAGCAGGTATGACTTTCACATCTGTGTGTATAAATTAAAAGATCCTTCAACGTTCAAACTATATACAAGGAAATAAATATTATTTTATATTAAAAACAGGAAATACAGAATAATTTGTGTTATTGAAATGATATCAGTCACCTAATTTCTCATATTTATCATTTGTTATCGCTTTCAAACATTAAGTTGGTGCTTCTCAAAGGAGTTTCTTGCAAAATGATAACTTGCTTAATCCAGCTAGTTTTAGCCATGTAAATAACCTAACTCACTTGACACATTAGCAGTGTGACTTGCTGCTGTTATAAGAAACTAATAACCAAACCCAAACCAAAACTTAAATAACCCAAATAAACTTTAGATTTAAGTCTGTTTTGGTCAAACTATTTATGATCTAAACAACTTCAACCCTATCGAAAACCTAAAATATTTGATTCAAAATGGCCAAAACCAACCCAAAACCCAAAAACCCTAACCTATAATGTTTGGCCACCCCTACTCTCTTCCATAAGGAAATGAACGGAAAAGTGTTCCAGCTGCCACGTTTACTGCTTCGATCGCAAGAGCGATGCGCTTTTGTGCACTAAAGACTGACTGAACTAGCCATTAGAGAGAATAGAGGTAAAGTAGGAGTTAGATTCACTTTTGTGTATGTTGCAGAGAACTATAAGATTGTATGTTTCCTAAATGGTTTGAGTAATGATCTTGTTTTTTAATTACTTGTAAGAATACGTAATTAGGTTTTGATATTTTATCTACTCTTATCCTCAAGGACCAGCAGGTTTGGTTAATGTAATAGACAAATGTCTCCTGTTTGTGATTAGGAGATTTCCAGTAGTTTTTATTTTGTGGCCTTTTTATACATTTTATTGCTACATTGTTTCAGTGAGCTTCAAAGTAACTCTTAAAAGTGAACGAATTTTGGTTTTTGGGTTTTAGTATATTAATTCGTAGCTTCTTGTGAGACAACTTGAAACCGAAATCTGTCATATATTAATAACTACAATACTGTATATATGTTGCTCAGTCCTTGTCCAAAGAGGTAATAATACTATTTGTATTTCTATTTCTTGAATGCATACCAATTAAGATAATTGTTGAAAGTTCTCTCTTTTTAATTTACTTAGTGTACTTCATGTTCTCTCTTTTTAATGTACTTAATTTTATACTTCTTAGTATAAAGTGTAATATAATACAAATAAACACTGCTGTGAATGATAGAAAAAAGCTTTAAATCTTCTTTTTGTTGAAATGGGAATGGTTGGGTTCAAGGTTTTGCCAGTTGTTCTTTCAAAGAGTTTGATTCTTGCAAATGTTCACCAGAGGGAAATGATCACATATATAGTGCAAGTATCCTAAAGTCAGTTGACTTAGAATTTTATAAAAATCCGCCGAGTACTCCTAAAACTTTCAAGACATAAGTTTTGATTGGAGAAAAGCACACTTGACATGGAGCATGTAACAAATTTGCAAGCACAAGCACAAAAGTTAACAGGAGCATGTAACAAACTAGAGACAACTAAAGAAAACATGTTACATGTCTTAGGTTGAAACATCTTTAGGATCTTGTTCATTATCATCACCTTGGAGGTTACTTCTGTATCTGTAAAACCAAGAGCAGGCAAGGAAATACCCAAAATTCAAGACTCCTCCAATAACTAAAAGCCAGTAAACATTGTCAACTCTTCCACGGTTAATGTCATCTGGTAACCACTCCGTGGTCCTCTGGATCAGATCGATCAAAGCTGTGCTTAGATAGAAAGAGATTCCAATCACCAGCGAGGTCAATGAAGTAGCGGTGTTCCTCAGAGACTCAGGGAATTCTCCATAAAACAACTCAATATTCCCCGGAAACTGAAAGGCCTCTCCTATTCCAACTATCACCAGAGGAGGAAACAGCCATAGCACTGACATGAGATGCTCATTTTCAACTGATTTGAGTCTCTTTGCTTCCACAATCGCGGATATCGCCATGCTTAGGATGGTGAGAACTTGGCCTACACCGACTTTTTGAAGCGGTGTTAGCGGTTTATGGGTTAGCTTCTGAAACATTGGATAGACAAGCCACTTGTTTAGTATAAGAAAGGTGGATGCAGAGATGAGTACTATGACTTGGAGTGACCCGGCAGGGACTTTGAAGTGAGTCCCGAGCCCACAGTCCGTAACTAGAGCTTGGAGTACCATCAAGCTTGTTTGCATCACCATGGGAGTACTAACAAAGATTATGGCTAGCCACAAAGGAAGAAGTCTGAGAATGGCTTTGAAATCTTCTACTTCTTGAACAGAGCATAGCCTCCACATGTTATTAACTGAGCCGTCTTTGGTCTTCAACGCTGCACGATTCAAGAACCTGCACATGTAAAGCTCTTTCAGCTCGAGTTTAAGTTTCATGAATCATGCAAGATTTTTGTTTTCACCTGAATCTCTTTGACGGCATTGCAGCAGAAGTCTTGGCCTCATGGTGATAGTCTTCTTCTTTTGAAGAAATCACAGCCTTTCTTTTTACTGTAGCAGCGACTAAAACGCGGATCAGGCTTGTGAAGGGACTTCCCATGGGTTTGTCATGCTTGTATAGTCTCTTCCCGGAGACGAAGACAAAGAAACTTACCAAATTAGCAGCAGCACAGATGCCAAACCCAAGTTTCCAGCTAGCATTGTCTTGTGTGTATACTATCGCTGTGGCGCCAGTAATCGCTCCAGCATATAGCGTGAGGAAGTACCAGTTGAAGAAGCTTCCTTGATCTTTACGTTTCTCGTATTGGTTTGCACCTGCGGATGCTAAGGTATACCGTGTCCCACCTGCTCCGGCAGTCACTAGAGCTAAGGCTGCATACAAGACACCAAGCTGAAGCTTCGATGGAGACTGGCATAGGATTGACCCTGTTGCACACGGTCTAGGTCTCAAGTAGTCCAAAGATGCGATCAGAGTCAAGAGAAGAATGCCCTGAAAATGTTTGTATACATGTTAATCTTTGTGTAATCGGAAGAACGTAGAAGAGATACAGTCATGAGTCTTTGATTTACAGTTAAGGAAATGAAAGCAGAGGCAGAGATAATGGGAATGTTTCCGAAGAAAGAATCAGCTAAAATGGCTGCAACAACAGGGACTACGCTGAGACAACCATTGGCAACGTTTGAGATCTGAGCAGCAGCGATGCTCTTGATGTTGAATTCCTCAATCAAGAAGACGATCAAGTTCATTACCCATCCGAAAGAAGTTATGGACAAACCTAACAACGTTGCTGCACGTACGGCACAGAACCAAACTCACAATCGTCAACATTTTGTCTATGTTTTGGCTTCAATAAAACAGGAAAAACAAGAATTAAAAAAAAAAAAAACACAAACCGATCATGAACGGAAAAGTGATCCAGCCACCGCGTTTGCCGCTTGAATCTCCAGAGCTCTGAGCTTCTGTGTCATTAGAGACTAAACCAGCCATAAGAGAGAGCAAGAGGAAGCAGGACTTACTTTGACTTGTGTTTTGTGTGTGATGATTTAGTCAGATAACTGTCTTAAACTATATATAAGTGCAACTAAAGGACAATCATGTTGGTGCAATGATCTTGTTTGGTAAAAAAAGTTACCTAATCATGGTCTGACATTTCATCTACTGTTGTCGTTTTCCAGAAATTGTAAATGTAATAAACAAAAAAAAGAAAAAAAAAGATTTGGTCAGGTCAGATTTTCAAAAGTAGTATCCACTACTCATCAGAATAGTAGTATTCACTTCTCGAATAATCCTTTTTATGAGTCACGACCACAAATTGTTTTCAACATCCTTTATGTCAAAGCCATACAGAGCACTGAGGAAGCAAGTGTTACTTTCACATCTGTATATGACTTATATGAATAAATTATTCTTTATTTCTTCATATATGTAAATAGAAAAATCCTTCAAACCATATATGAAGAAATGAAGAATAAATTTATTAAAATAACTAAAGAAAATACAGAATATGTTGTGTTACTACAATGAAACGATTTGACCTAACCTCATGTTTCTCACATTTATCTTTTGTTGTCATTTTCAAACATTAGGTTGATGCTTCTGAAAGGAGTCTGATTCACATGATTCTTGCAAAATGTGAATCAGAGGTAAAGGAAAATATGATTATACTAAAGTTTAACATGATTTAGTTGATTACTCTGTTTCCGTAATGGATAGTAAACATGGGAAAATTTGACAAATTGCTATTACGGGATGTGGTCGTAATACAATTCATTTGCATGTCTAGAAAAATGAGCATACACCAAAATTTGCCTTTTACATATTCCATTTCTTTGATCAGAGTGAAGAAGCATCTTACTTATTTTAATTTGGTTAATCTCAAATGGAAATATTCCTCTGAGGTGTACTTACTTTCAATAAGCAGCATAAAGTTGATATAATTTATTTTCCACATTAATTATATCAGTTTGCATCCTTTATGTGCTCCATCTTATATTCCTCTACTATATGAGTAACTTGAAGATTGCCATAGGAGATTATCTATTTACCATGAACCTGATGTGTACTCTGCATTTTGAGCTGTTGTTAACCGGCGCTGAAACATAAGCGGCTATAGAGCAATACAAACTTGATTCGGGTCGAGAGAGAGAGAGAGAGAGAGTATATAAACCAGCCAGCTTGGTTTTGGTTTGTTGAACCAATTTGAATCAACTTCATAGAAAAATAATCTATATAGTATGGTCACCAATTCACGACCACACATTGTGTTCATGATCCTTTATGTCAGAAGAGACTGACCCTGCCAGTCATTTAGAGAGCACTGAGAACAATTTGTGCTATTGGAATGATTTTACCTAACCCACTGTTTCTCACAATTATCCTTTGTTGTCATTTTCAAACATTAGGTTGCTGGCTTGGTTCCTGTTAATGTTAATCAGAGGGAAAAGGTAAGATGAATCTACGGTAATGTAAGTTATCTAATTCAGTTGACTTACAGTGTAAGTTATATATTGATTACTCTGTTGCATAAAAATTTAGAAACACAAGAGTGATACCGTTTTAATTCCTTGTGTAAAAATACACTTTGAATTGAGCAAATATTGCAAAACACAAATACATAAGTTAACGATAGACAATGTAAGATATTGATTCAAGACATGGAGAAAATTTATTGTTGTGGAGGAAACTGGAGATAATCTTAGGTTGTAACATCTGTAGTATCTTTTTTCTGATCATTATCATCCTTAAGGTTTTTGTATGTGTAAACCCAAGAACACACCAGAAAGTAGCCAAAATTCAAGACTCCTCCAATGACTAAAACCCAGTAAACAATGTCCACTCTTCCATGGTTTATGTCATTTGGCAACCACGCGGTGGTCCTCTGAATCAGATTGATCAGAGCTGTGCCCAGATAGTAAGATATTCCCATCACCAGAGAGGTCAATGAAGCCGCAGTGTTCCTCAGAGACTCGGGGAATTCTCCATAAAATAACTCAACATTTGCCGGTAAATGAAAAGCCTCGGCAATTCCAACTAAGATGAGAGGAGGAAACAGCCATAACACAGACATTGGATGCTCATTTCCAACTGTTTGAAGCCTCTTTGCTTCCACAACTGCGGAGATCACCATGCTTAAGATGGTGAAAACTTGGCCTATACCGACTTTTTGAAGTGGTGTCAGTGGTTTATGAGCTAGCTTCTGGTACAAGGGAAAGACAAGCCAGTTGTTCATTATGATGAAGATGCATGAAGAGATGATTGACATGACCAGGATTGACCCGGCAGGGACTTTAAAGTGAGGGCCGAGCCCACGGTCAGTAACTAGAGCTTGGAGTACCATCATGCTTGATTGTATCGCAATGGGAGTACTAACACACACGATGGCTAGACACAGAGGAAGTAGCCGGAGAACGATTTTGAAATCTTCTACTTCCTGAATAGAGCTTAGCCTCCAGCTGTTATAGTTTGAGTTACCACTCTGTTTCATGTCTTCTTCCGTCTTCAATGCTGCGCGGTTCAAGAACCTGCACATGTGAAGATCTCTCAGTTATGGTTTAAGTTTCATGCATGAAAAATCAAGCAATGTTTTTTTTTTTTTGTTTTCTTTGGATTACCCCAAAACCAAACAACCAGATATCATATTACTTCCGTTCCAAGCAAGCTTTTTTTTCTTTTATTTTCACCTGAAGCTTTTTGAGGGTATTGCAGTTGAAGTCTTGGCCTCTTTTCCGTGATGATAGTCTTCTTCTTTAGATGAAACCGCAGCCTTTCTTTTCAATGTAGCAGCGACTAAAACGCGGATCAGGGTTGTGAAGGGACTTCCCATGGGTTTGTCATGCTTGTATAATATCTTCCCGGAGATGAAAATGATGAAACTGATCAAATTAGCAGCTGCGCAGAGACCGAAACCTAGTTTCCAGCTAGCGTTGTCCTCTGTATATACAATTGCTGTCGCGCTAATGATAGCCCCTATATTTATCGTGAGGAAGTACCAGTTGAAGAAGCTTCCTTGATCTTTACGTTTCTCGTATTGGTTTGCACCCGCTGATGACAAAGTCACTCGTGTCCCAGCTGTTCCAATTGTCACTAGAGCTAAGGCTGAATACAAGACACCGAGATGGAGTTTAGATGGAGAATGGCAAAGGTTCGATCCTGTTTCACAAGGTTGAGGTCTTAAGTTGTCCAAAAGTGCGATTAGAGTCAAGAGAACGATGCCCTGAGTAAAAACATTTTAAAACTTGTGAGCTTTTTTGGTGTAGACGAAACATTGAGAGTACAGAGTGAGTTTAGAACTAACGAGTAGAGAAATGAAAGCAGAAGCTGAGATGATGGGAATGTTTCCAAAGAGAGAATCAGCTAGAATTGCTGCTACAAATGGGAACATGCTGAGGCAACCATTGACAATGTTTGATATCTGAGCAGCAGCGATGCTCTTGATGTTGAATTCCTCGATCAAGAAGACGATCAAGTTCATTAACCATCCGAAAGAAGTTATTGACAAACCTAACAGCGTAGCTGCACACACCACAAGACCACACTAGTCAACATTTTTCTATGTTTTGGTGTTCAAAATCGTCGACAAAAACACACACAAAAAAACACTCTTACGTACCCATCATGAACGGAAAAGTAATCCAGCCACCGTGCTTGCGGCCTGGCTCTCCATATCCTGGAGCTTCTGTGTCAGCCATGAAAGAGAAAAAGGAGAATCAGGAGTTACTTTCACTTGTGTTTTGTGTGATGATGTAGTCAGATAATAAGCTCTAAGTTATATATTTATATAAGCGTCGAATGCATAACAACTATTTTGGTGGACTTAATAGTTGTTAATTAATGACTATGTTTGGCCCAGTTTTATAGTTACTAATAATGGGATTTGGACAATGTATCTACTCCTGTCGTTTTCCAATATCACGTTGGTGAATGTAATGAAAAACAAGTAAAAAGATTTTGGCCAGATCATTATGATGGCGCAATAATTTGGCAATGATCTTGTTTGGTCCAAAAACTATATAGTTACTAATCATCAGCAATAAACTATTAAATTGATTTATGAGTTTGGTAAGTAAAAATTATGCGGTTTGAGCTGTTGTTATTGCGATTTTAGCAAGCTAAAAGAAACAGAAGCGGTTATAGAGGAATCCAAGATTGATTCCGGTTTAGAAAGAAATAACAAAGAAACACCAATATAAATACAAACACAGAAGATAACAAGAGCATGTAAGATATTAATTCAAACCATAGAGAGCAATGTTGTCTTAGATTGTAACATCTGTCGGATCTTTTTCTTGATCATCATCATCCTTGAGGTTTCTGTATCTTTAAAACCAAGAGCAGGCAAGAAAATAGCAGAAATTCAAGACTCCTCCAATGACTAAAACCCAGTAAACATTGTCAACTCTTCCATGGTTTATATAATAATTATTAATCATCCGCAATAAAATCAAAAACAAAAAATTTGACTAAATTTTTATAATCTGCTATCATGAGACATATTTGATTAAAGATCTACATGTTATGGTTATGTAATGATCATTAAAGTTTGAAGCATTCTCGATGATTCTGTATCAGTAGTTAAACCGGAGAGTGAAACGTTATCATTATCCAGTATTGACTCTTGCCTTTACAAACTGCTTTTCATAAACAAATTAATTGTTTTCACTTTGCTTAATCTCAGTGGAATTGATTCCCAAGTGTGCATTTACGTACGTTCAATCAGCATCAATATAATTTGGAATAGAAAAGTTTTTTTTGTTTTTTTTTACAAAATGAGTATGCACCAAAATTTTGCCTTTTTACATATTCCATTTCATTGATCAGAGTGAAGAAGCATCATCTTACTTATTTTAATTTGGTTAATCTCAAATGGAAATATTCCTCTGAGGTGTACTTACTTTCAATAAGCATCAATATTAAGCAGAATAAAGTTGGTCTTATATATTTCGACATTAATTACGTCAGTTTGCGTCCCACATGTGCTCCATCTTATATTCCTCTACTATATAAATAACTTTAAGTTTGCCATAAACGACTATCAATATGTACCATGAACTTGATGTGTACTCTGCATTTTGAGCTGTTGTTAACTGAAGCTGAAACATAAGGGGTTAAACAGGAATCCACAACTGATTCGGGTCAAGAGAGAGAGAGAGAGAGAGAGAGAGAGAGAGAGAGAGAGAGAGAGAGAGAGAGAGAGAGAGAGAGAGAGAGTAAACCAGCCAGTCAGTTGGTTTTGGTTTGTTGAACCAATTTGAATCAACTTTATAGAAAATAATCTATACAGTATAGTCACCAAGTCACGACCACACATTGTGTCACTTGTGTTTGTCAGCAGAGACTGACCCTGCCAGCCATATACAGAGCACTGAGAACAATTTGTGCCACTGAAATAATTTTACCTAACACACTGTTTCTCACAATTATCCTTTTGTTGTCGTTTTCAAACAATAGGTTGGTGGCTTGGTTCCTGTCAATGTTAATCAGAGGGAAAAGGTAAGATGAATCTACTGTGATGTAAGTTATCTAATTCAGTTGACTTACAGTGTAAGTTATCTATTGATTACTCTGTTGCATAAAAAAATTTAGAAACACCAGAGTGACTTGTGTAAAAACACACTTTGAATTGAGAAAATATTGCAAAACACAAACACATAAGTTCACGATAAATAATGTAAGATATTCATTCAAGACATGGAGATAATTTATTGTTGTAGAGGAAACTGGAGCAAAACATGATGTGTCTTAGGTTGTAACATCTTTGAGATATTGTTTCTGATCATTACCATCGTTAAGGTTTATGTATGTATAAACCCAAGAACACACAAGAAAATAGCCAAGATTCAAGACTCCTCCTATGACTAAAACCCAGTAGACATTGTCCACTCTTCCATGGTTTATGTCATCTGGCAACCACGCGGTGGTCCTCTGAATCAGATTGATCAGAGCTGTGCTCAGATAGTAAGAGATTCCAATCACCACAGAAGTCAATGAAGCCGCAGTGTTCCTCAGAGACTCGGGGAATTCTCCATAAAACAAGTCAACATTTGCCGGTAACAGAAAAGCCTCGCCGATTCCTTCCAAGATGAGAGGAGGAAACAGCCATAACACAGACATTGGATGCTCATTTCCAACTGTTTTAAGCCTCTTTGCTTCCACAACCGCGGAGATCGCCATGCTTAAGATGATGAAAACTTGGCCTACACCGACTTTTTGAAGCGGTTTCAGTGGTTTACGAGTTAGCTTCTGGTACAAGGGAAAGACAAGCCAGTTGTTCATTATGATGAAGATGCATGAGGAGATGATTGACATGACCAGGACTGACCCGGCAGGGACTTTGAAGTTAGGGCCGAGCCCACGGTCAGTAACTAGAGCTTGGAGTACCATCATGCTTGATTGCATCACAATGGGAGTACCAACAAAGACGATGGCTAGACACAAAGGAAGTAGACGGAGAACGGTTTTGAAATCTTCTACTTCCTGAACAGAGCATAGCCTCCACTTGTTATAGTTTGAGTTACCACTCTGTTTTATGTCTTCTTCCGTCTCCAATGCTGCGCGGTTCAAGAACCTGCACATGTGAAGCTCTCTCAGTTATGGTTTAAGTTTCATGAAAAATCAAGCAAGCTTTTTTTTTTTTTTTTTTTTGGATTACCACCATGAACTACAAGATATAACATTACTTCCGTTCCAACCAAGCTTTATTTTTCTTTTAACCTAAAGTTTTTTGAGGCTATTGCCGTTGAAGTCTTGGCCTCTTTTCCGTGATGATAGTCTTCTTCTTTATATGAAACCGCATGCTTTCCTTTCAATGTAGCAGCGACTAAAACGCGGATCAGGCTTGTGAAGGGACTTCCCATGGGTTTGTCATGATTGTATAGTCTCTTCCCGGAGATGAAAATGCTGAGACTGATCAAATTAGCAGCTGCGCAGAGACCGAAACCTAGCTTCCCATGGGTTTGTCATGATTGTATAGTCCTTTGTATATACAATTGCTGTCGCGCCAATGATGGCGCCTGTATTTACCGTGAGGAAGTACCAGTTGAAGAAGCTTCCTTGATCCTTACGTTTCTCGTATTGGTTGGCACCCGCGGATGATAAAGTCACTCGTGTCCCAGCTGTTTCAATTGTCACTAGAGTTAAGGCTGCATACAAGACGCCGAGCTGGAGTTTTGATGGAGACTGGCAAAGGTTCGGTCCTGTTTCACAAGGTTGAGGTCTTAAGTTGTCGAAAAATGCGATTAGAGTCAAGAGAACGATGCCCTGAGTACAGACGTTTTAAAACTTGTGAGATTTTTTGTGTAGACGAAACATTGAAGATACATAATGAATCTTAGACTTACGAGCAGAGAAATGAGAGCAGAAGCTGAGATGCTGGGAATGTTTCGAAAGAAAGAATCAGCAAGAATGGCTGCAACAAAAGGGAACATGCTGATGCATCCATTGACAATGTTTGATATCTGAGCAGCAGCGATGTTCTTGATGTTGAATTCCTCGATCAAGAAGACGATCAAGTTTATTATCCATCCGAAAGAAGCTATTGACAAACCTAACAGCGTAGCTGCACCACATAGAATCACACCACGAGACCACAATCATCAACATTTTTCTATGTTTTGGTGCTCAAAATCGTTGACAAAAACACAAAAAGACACCCTTACGTACCATCATGAACGGAAAAGTAATCCAGCCACCGCGCTTGGGGCTTGGATCTCCATATCCTGGAGCTTCTGTGTCAGCCATGAAAGAGATCAAGAGGAAGCAGGAGTTACTTTCACTTGTGTTTGGTGTGATGATGCAGTCAGAGGATAAGCTTTAAGCTATATATAAGCGTAAAATGCATGACAGTTTATTTTGGTGGAATGATTTGTTAATGATTATGGTTGGTCCAATTTTATAGTACTTAATTAAAGGGATTTAGACAAAGTATCTACTTTTGTCGTTTTCCAATATCACGTTGTTAAAATGTAATTAAAAACAACTAAAAAGGAGTTGACCAGATCCTTCAAGATCATTTTGATGGTGCAAAAATTTGGTAATGATCTTGTTTGACCCAAAAACTATATAGTAGTTTTGAGAGCTGTTGTTAACGCGGTTTTAGCAAGCTGAAAGAAACAGAAGCGGTTATAGTAAATCCAAGATTGATTCCCGTTTAAAAGTAAATTAGCCAGTTAGTTGATTTTGAATTTGGTGGAACGTTAGTGGGAGAATGGTAATAAATAACAAACAGATGCAAACACAAATACAAACACAAGATAAAAAGAGCATGTAAGATATTAAATGAAAACATAGATAACAACGTTGTCTTAGATTGCAACATCTTTGGGATCTTTTTCTTGATCATTATCATCCTTAAGGTTTCTGTATGTGTAAAACCAAGAACACACAAGGAAATAGCCGAGATTCAAGACTCCTCCAATGACTAAAACCCAATAAACATTGTCAACTCTTCCATGGTTTATGTCATCTGGTAACCAATCAGTGGTCCTCTGAATCAGATCGGTTATAGCACTGCTTGTGTAGAAACATATCCCAATCACTACCGAAGTTATCGAAGTTGCTGTGCTCTTCATAGACTCTGGAAACTCTTGATAGCACAAAGCTACATTCCCTGGGAAATGAAAGGATTCTCCTGAAACCAAAAGACAAAAACCAAGAACATGAACACTTTTGTCTCAAATTCAATATTGACAGA